GCCACTATTATTAAAAATAAGACAACTTCGGAATGATCTTAGATGGTATTGAGAGGAACATGACATTCCTTTCCCCATATGCCCTTCCTCCCCAATCATCCAGACCCATCATCTTTCAAGGCCCACTCACAAAATCATCCTGGATCCCCACAGCTAGAGTTAATCTCACCTCCTTCGAACACTTAGAGCACTTTATTTGTTTACTTGATCTGCAGCTGTTTATATACTTGTCTTATTTCCTAAAGGACTGTAAGCTCTTTGAGGACAGGGTCCATGACGAATTCATTTTTGTATCCTTTAATATCGCACCTCATAGACACTCAGTAAACCTCCAATGAATGAATGGAACATGATTCTCCCACCATGCAAGAAATTTGAGTCCAAGCTGCCTCCATATTCTCAGACATAAGCAAAAGAATTGGAACAGATTCAGAAGAGAACAATAAAACAAAATGACTAAAAAGTGGGAGAAACAGAATTTGCATTCAGAAACAAAAGTTCAAGGAATTCAGCCTAAAGTGGACTTTGGGAAGTGATATCATAGGGACCTTCGAATATATTAAGGAGACAACACTCAAAGAAGAGGCCTGAAGTTCTTTCATTGAACCAAAACAAAATGCAACTCAGATTTTAACAGGGCAATGGGACACGCTGAAGAACTTTCAGAGTATAGATATCGGGGTGGTGTGATCAAAGGTAGAGGTAGATGCCATGCTTTCTTCCATCCGTATGTGTACATAAGTATACGCTAACAATGGGGCCTGTGGTACAGCATTTTTGCAAAATTACTTGTGAAACAATTGCAAGCTTTTAAGATTTTTTCCCCCTAAGATGCTAAAACCCGTTTTAAAGGAGAAGGGGATTTAGTTCAGGAAGGAATGGGAGACTCAAGTATGAGACTTGGCTAACAAGCAAAATGGGACCAACCCAGAGAGAGAGAGAGAGAAAGAGAGACAGCCTTTGATGTCCTGACGATCAAGGACCATGGCTTAAGGACCAGACTCTTAAATCACGTGTCATTTACTGCTTCAGATAAAAAATACTTTTCTGGATCAGTGTCTGTAGTTCAAAATGGCTAGGTTCCAAAATCAGTCTTAACTTTCCAAGGGTAACATTTGGAAGGTTTCCTGCAAGAACAGAGCGGAGCCAGTTCTGAGAAGGGGCAGCTTAATGATTTTCTACTACCCCCACCCCCAAATCATTAAACAGTGTTCCTTTCCCAGAGCCCAAGTTCATGCTGAGGGCAAAGGGAATTAAATGAAGAAGCTGAACCTGCAGCTAAGATTAGAGAGTTGCCAAGGGCCTAATTTTAGGTCCTAGCTGCTCCAGCTGACGTCCTGCCCTGCTGGCTCAGCCACGAGGACCACAAGTGTGGCCATAAGCCGATGTCTGAGTGGGAAGAGAGACTCCCTGGCCATCTGCAAAAGCAATTAGCTTGCCGTTGGCTGTGTTTTGAGAGGGACTACCAATAATTTCTCCTTCAACAAGTGTTTCTTCAGGTGTTCACGAGTCAATGAGGGAAAATGTCAGAATTTGGCAGAAGTTCCCACACGCTTGCCATTCTAATATTCACACTTCTCCACTTCAGGTGCTGTCCAAAAGGAAACTAATCCTGGAATTCCTGGTTTTCCTGGCAAATAACCCCCTGATAAATGCCCTTTGACTCTAAGCATACTGCCACAACCTAGGGAAAGGGTTGTTTGGGACTTCTCAGCGTCATGAAAATAGAGATGGACTGGAACAATTCTTTCATTTGGTGCGGAATTTCTATGCCGCTCCTGCACTGGGATTTAGGCTGTCCTTCCACTCTCCACGTATTTCCCAGTCCCAGGCTTTATGCTTTAATCGTCTTCTTTAGAGGGCAGACAATAAGAGCTGGCATCTTCCAGATCAAAGGGGAAACAGAATGTATTTTAAAGTGACAACTCTGTTATCCTGCAACCAGAAGAAAACCAGAATAATAAAATGATATAAATATAAGCCCTTAAATAATTGTATACTAAAATGCCACCAGAGAGCAAAATTTCTTGCATAATTATGGCAGAGAAACTCTTCTTACAAATCACTCACAAGAGCATGCCGATTTTTGCACAATTCTCATCCCTGGGGCAGCCCTCCTCAGGGATGGAGTTTCTATGTCCCTGCAGGTTGGGAACTGTGATTACCCACTGGTACGCTCTGTCTGCAAAGGAGGCTGTTAATAAAGGCTCATTGCCAGGGGCAATGAAAAAGCAGGCTGGCACTGCCAGGCCAAGGACCGCATCTCTTAGTAGATTATGTGCTGGTGGTGAGGGCCACTGTCACGAAGGTGCACAAACCAGCCCTGGCTGCTTCTGTCTCTTCCTCTATTTTTCTTTCCTGGTAGCTTTGCTTTTTCTATCTACTTGTCCATCTGTCTGTATACATATTTCTACATGCCCACCACCCTGCCACACGCATACACAAGCACACACATATGCTCGTGCACATGAGTGCACAAGCACACACACACAGAGGCACACACACCCAATCTTGCCCCCGCCTTCCCCTGTCTCTTGGCACCGGCCCTTTCATCTTCTCCCTCGGGGATTCGAGATGTCGCTGCAGGAAATGCTTGTCCGCCGAGGCAGCAGCAGCAGAGCCCTGTGGCTTTGACAAACCTCATTTAATTGGGAGGAAGCCAGGAGAATTTGAAAGAACTGAAACATCCACGAAACTCCTTTTATCAGGCATAATTTAAACTCTGCATGGAAAAACCCCTATATGTATAAAGAAAAGTCAACTTCCCTCCTGCTGTGAGCACTCCTGGTCTCCCCCACTAGCGCAGGCAGCCTCCTGCAAGATTCCATCTTTTCATTTTTCTAAAAGTGTCAAAGTAGATTTGGGCTCTGTGACTGGGTGAACAGGGAAGGAATACAGATTGTTCTCTCTCTCTGTCTCTCATACATACACACACACCCGCACGCACACACATATACACACATACACACACAACCCTAGACATCCATGCACCAGGGCCCCTCTGTTGGTGGCTTTGCTTTTGGGTCAGCCAGGAAAAATCAAAACCCACGTTTCTAACAACACATCAGTTTGGACAGTGAGTGTTTCTTCCTAATCAACCTGCGTCAGGCAAAAGCTGGAGCCTAGAAAACTTTGAAGATCCCCAGCAATTCTCAGCATGTGGAATAACAGATCCTAAAGGAGGGCCAACGGGGCAAGTTTCTTTAAGTGGAGAGAAGGGAGAGTGTGTGTGTGTGTGTGTGTGTGTGTGTGCATGTACATCCAAGCGTGTACACTTGCATGAAGTAGTAGAGTTATAAGTCCCAAGCCTGAGAGGAGAAAGCTGAAAAGGAACAATCTAGAAGCTTGGACTGGGAAGAGGGGATTGGGATGGGAGTGGCCAGGGAGGAATGGGGCCAAAGTGGGGGCAGAGGTACCAGGAAGGGAGTGAGAATTGTGGATCTGCCTGCAATGTCTTTTGTTCCACCCATATGCTAACCCCTGCCTCTCTCCTCCTTCCAAATTCCACTTCAGATTCACCTCCAGTCTAATCCATCTCATTTGAATTATTCTCGTTCCTCCAAAGAATTGCCTTCAACACACACATAGTCTCTGCACATCTGCAGTTGATTATGCACAGATTTTTAGCTGTTTAGATATGATTTGTGCTGATATGTGTGCGAGGGTGCCCCATTTCCTCTTCCTCGCCCTCTTTTCCTCCCACTTCGTAAGATCCTGGAGGCCAAGGACAAGTCTCTTGTTTTCCTCCACTTTTTATAGCACTTAATATGTTCTTGACACTTAATGGCAATTTAATAAATACTAATGACTGACTCTTTCTACAGGGTTAAGTAAGACATTAACCTCAGTTGTATGATTATGGTTATTTTTGGAGATCCTAAATGACTCACTTTAGTCATAAAATAGAATGCCTCAACAAGTCCCAAACTAAGCGCTTTGGACTGCTGCAGGATGATGTCCTAGACACAGAGGAGCTGCGTCTGCAAACTCTGGCAAGGCGGACCAGGCTGTTTCCACACCTCTTGGGCAGTAGCTCCTCACCCTGTCCCCATCCTTATCTCACGGCACCCCATCACCACTCCCCCACATCCCTTCCAGTGTCCTCATCCCAGTCCCAGCCCTTAGGCCCTCCCTCCTAAGCTTTCTTTTCTCTGGCTTAGGACTTCTAAAACCAACCCTGGCTGCTTCTCTCTCTTCTTCTGTTTTACTTTCCTGGTAGCTTTGCTTTTCCTGTCTACTTGTCCCTTGTTCCTAAAACTATTTTTAGCTGAATGGTGGATTTTTTCAAAGAAACCTCACCTAAGGATAGTCCCCCATGACCACTGCCCACATCCTCCTGTAGCTCTTCCTGGCCACAGTCCGAGAAACATGACGGGAGTTCCAACCACATGATCCCTCAGCAGATTTCAGATTTGGAAGATGACTTCAGGCCCAGGCAGCAAAGGCTGATTCCAGGGTAACTTGTGTTTACAGGAGGTGGGCAGCCTGGGAGGAGGCCTTCCTTCCCCCAGCACCCCACCCCGGCACTGCCTTCTGCAGCTTGCTGTTACCAATCAAGAAAGGCCCAGCTCCCTCTCAGGACATATCTGCTTCACCTATCATCTTACTCTCTGCAGAAAGGGAGAAGAGTCTTGTTAGAAACACTGGTGTGGCTTCCTGGCAGATGGTAGCTAAGCCAAACAACTCAGAGACAACGTCCATCTCATCCAATTTCTGAGTGTAAATGTGTACCTGTGAAATGTCTGCACCATTACAAAGAGGTCCTTGTAACCTCTCCCCACCAGTGCTTCAGAGTTTGAGAGAAGCTCATGCAAAACTCAGACAAGATTGGGTCCTATCTTGCTTCTCCCAGGCAAATGGATCTCTAACTTCACTCCTGGGGCTAAATGCTATGGTTCTTCGGTGCTGAGGCAAACTACTTAAGACACCAAGACTTACACACACGCAGTCACGCGCACACACACTCACGCATGCACACAGGCACACACTTCCTCGCTCACCATCGGGAAGCTGGTACAGCTGAGATGGCAGGGCGCTGAAATAATCGTGACCGAGTGCTTCCTGGGCGGAGACGCGGTCTCTGGGAAAGCCTTTCAGCATCTGGGAGGCCAGGTCTTCAGCTTCAGGAACCCTGCCCAGCCTGGAAAAGTGGGGGAGAAAAATAGAGTTTCTCCAGCAGCCTCCCTTCTGAAAAACAACGGGAGAAAAACAAAAAGTAAAGAAAAGGAGATTGCTAGACTTAGATTTTAAGTAGAATTTTCCTGGAATTGCTAAAATTGATGGCAAGTGGAAAAGTAACCCCCATACTAAACTCTGACTGACTGTCCTGTTACTAAGTTGAAGGGGAAAAATCTCCTCATTCTATCACTGGGCTCCCTTGCCCTCCACCGTGTGTCTGGGCACCATGCACAAATAAAAGACACAGAAATATATTATAAACAGAAATATATAATAATATATAATATATTATATATAATATAATATATAATATTACAAACAGAAATATATAATCAAGGATTCTTTTTGGAGGAACACTGCAGCACAACCAAGTAGAAAGGCCTGATTCAAAATATGATCGCACTCTGAGAGGCCGAGGCAGGCAGATCACTTGAGGCCAGCAGTTCGAGACCAGACTGGCCAACATGGTGAAACCCTGTCTCTACTGAAAATATAAAAATTAGCTGGGTGTGGTGGCATGCACCTGTAATCCCAGCTACTCAGGAGGCTGAGGCATGAGAATCGCTTGAGCCTGGGAGGTAGAGGCTGCAGGGAGCTAATATTGCACCACAGCACTCCAGCCTGGGTGACGGAACAAGACTCTGTCTCAAACAAACAAACAAACAAACAAAAAACATGTTTGAGGCTCTGGACTCCAAGGGTGGCAAGCACAGAAATCTGGAGGGGGAAAAGCACAGAATTCTAAAGAGGTGATTCTGGAGGGTGAAGTTTGGGTAGAAAATACACTTGTTTGCAGCATTTCTGAAGCTCAGCCAGGCTTATTAGCTAGAAAACTCTCTTGGTTCCCCTGAGATGGAGCAGAGGAAGAGAAATAATTAAGTACTTAAATCACAGTAAGGATAAATCCTCAAGTTGACCTTATGTTGAAATATATATCTGGAGATGAGCAAATTCATTTATTGAGCAACTACTCTGTGCTAGTAAGTGGTTGGCTTGGGAGACACAGGACAAGACTGTCTTCTGGCAGCTCAGATAGAGGAGTCAGATGTTCATCAAATTATCACACAGATGTCTAAGTACAACTGTGAAGAAAAGAATCCTATGGTCTGACTGTTTGTATCTCTCCAAAATTCAAATTTATGTTGAAACCTAATTACCAAAGTGATAGTATTAGAAAGTGGGAACTTTGGGAGGTAATTGGGTTATAAAGGAGGCTTGAGAGAGCCCTTTTGCCCTTTCTGCCCTGTGCAGACACAGTGAGAAGGTGCCATCTGTGAAGCAGAGAGCTCTTGCCCAACACCTAAGCTGCTGGCACCTTGGTCTTGGTTTTCCCAGGCTTCAGAGCTGTGAGACATACATTTCTATTAATTGGCAATTACCCAGTTAAGGTTAGTTATAGCAGCTCAGGTATAACATTTTGGTTCTCCTGAGATGGAGCAGAGGCAGAGAGATAATTAAGTACCTGAACCACAGTAAGGACAAATCCTCAAGTTGATCTTTTTTTAAGGGTTAAGATAGCCTCAATACCTGACCTAGAATGGGAAGAGGTGGTCAGGAAAGGATTTCTTGAGGAAGTGGCATTTGAGCTGAGAGTTGAAGAAAGGAGGGCAGGCAAGAGGCAGGCCTTGCTGACAGGGATCTGTGGTACCCACACAGACCCTAGAGTGGGAGGGAGAAGCCAGAGTTTAAAGAAGGGAATCAGGCCACTTGGCTGGCCCAGGACAAAAATGGGGAGAGAGGCCTGACATGAAGCTGGGGAGGGTGGCTTGTGGGTCTTCATGTTTCCTATTTACTTACAATGCGTGAAAGTCTTTGCTAATCTAATGCCAATCATTTACGTACACCCAACTCCACAACACACACACAGGTTTATAACTGGAAAGGCACAAGAGGGAAAACTGCACATCCCAGAGGGCAGCTGCTCAGGGGACTGATGTCTGACATTCAGAATTAAGTTGTGTGGCCCCGAAACACCACAGCAAATCCCCAATTAAGCAGATATAGATGGGCTTGCTTAATTTTAAATACACCTACCGACTTAAAGCAAGAAAGATCAGATATTCTTTCCCTTCCAGGTGCTACAATGCAGAGATGCCTGAAGTCCTGGCCCAGAATTGTAATTTACCTAATTTTTGCATAAGATTTGCATAACAAATTTGGGCTATTTGATTCCCAAGACATGAAACTGTTTCTGCAAACAGATAACCACCTTCAAACTCAGGAGTAATTACTTCATAGACAAGATAGAGAAGAAATTTGCAAATTTCCAAATCCTTGCAAATTTCCAGGCCAGTTAGGAGAAAAAGGAATCGGGTAGAAGTCTACTCATTTGCTGTGGCCTGAAGAAGGTCTGACAGATATATTCCTCATCCAGTCATCCAGGGCATCCTGTCCAGCAGAGGTTTTGTTTTGTTTTTTTTCTTTTGAACATAAACTCAAGATTTTATTGTCTTCACAATAAAAGATGACACTTAGAACTGGATCACTTGGCCCTCTCTCTTCTTATCCCCGCCCAGTTCAAAATGCTTGCATCTTTTAATAGCCAGCATTCTCTTAGATCTGCAGTTGGGTTCAACACACTCAAGCCTTAGCACAATCTTCTTTGTAGTTTTAGTCTTTTTCCGGAAAATCGGCTTACTTTGCCCACCATAGCCACTCTGCTTCCTGTCATACTGCCACTTTCCCTGGGCATACAGAGAATCCTTGCCCTTCTTGTACTGTGTCACTTTGTGCTTGCCACACTTCTTACAGAAAGGATTGGTGCTTGCCACACTTCTTACAGAAAGTCCAGCGGGTTTTAGGGACATTAACCATGCTTGCGTGAGCGCTATTGGCACAGAAAGCAGGCAGAGCTTTTTTAGGGCCCATGAAATGGAGGTTTGGAAGAAGAATGTTAGTACAAATCACTAGAGCCTAGGATCCATCTGGAAGGAGACTCAGGGGTAATCTCATGAACAAATTTTAGCTGGTCCACCCACACTACTGGGTGGTGTGGTGAAGTTTGTGCCAAAATGGGGCCCTGAATCCAGTTTCTGCAGGCTTCACGCTTTCTGGTTAAATACTAACTTCTGGACATGGGGAGAGCAGGTAGGTGGTGAGAAGCAATGCATCTATCAGCTTCCACCTCCACAGTCCCACCCCAATCAGCGATTTGTTCTCTCGCATACTCCCCCAACATTAACCCATAACAGGTGGCTCCTGAACTGCCCTGTAGTGGGGGCTGAGGGGCTACAGTCTGATTGGACAGGGAAGGCTGGGAGACCGGTTTTAAATTTGTGTTAGCATGGCAGACATATTGTTTTTACTTAGACTGTGTTTATGTAGTGCCTGGGGAAGCCAAGAAAGGCTAATGGAGCTTACAGGGGTATTAGGGGCACCCCTTTTCTTATAAGAACAGGGTATTTGGCCAAGTGCTGTGCCTCATGTCTGTTATCCCAACACTTTGGGAGGCTGAGGTGGGAGGATCGCTTGAGCCCAGGAATTTGAGACCAGCCTGGGCAACATGGTGAAAACCCATCTCTACCAAAAAGTACAAAAATTAGCCAGGTGTGGTAGCATGCACCTGTAGTCCCAGCTACTCCGGGGGCTGAGGCGGGAGAATCACCTGAGCCCAGGAGGTCAAGGCTGCAGTGAGCCATGATTGTGCCTCTGCACTCTAGCCTGGGTGACAGAACTAGACACTGCCTCAAAAAAACAAAATAAGAACAGGTTTTTGTTTTTGTTTTTTTTAAACCAGGTGAATGAATAAAAGAAGAGTAGGTACTAATCAGTGACACAAGGACCTCTTTTTTAGGATTTTCCATTTCAACCAAGAGAACCTACCCTCACCCTCCCCACAGGGTTGTTTCAGGGCTTCTGGTAGTTTCTGGACTTGTTCCAGTCTCACAGCCTCTGAACTATGACTGCTGCACATTGCTTCTCCTTCTCCTTCGCCGGCAGAGGTGGTCACCAGGGCAAAGTGGGCTTCCTCCTAGGAGCCAAGTGTGTGTCGGTCTCCCCTGTACAAGCCGACTCCACCCCACATGAACGCAAACCTTCACTGGCAGCACTAGTAGCAGGACCATTGGCAAGCGCCTCAGTGATTGCCGCCTTGCTATTGCACATTGAGCTCTTTTTGCAAGGCTGAGAAAAGAGTCCTGGGGGAACAAATGTTGCTTTTTGGGCGCAAATGATTTACTGACATCTTCCGTGTTTGTATCATTATGCTTTTTCCTGTCACCTATGGCCTTGCTTGCTACCAATTGCCATTACTCTCATAGTTGTACACATGGCTACCACCTCTAACTTCCACTGGAACAATTATCCACTGGTTACAACCCCTACTTTAAAAATAAACATTGGCATACAAAAAAAGGAACATCACAAATGTAAATTTGCCTACCAGCACCTTTCCGTATAAGCTAAATGTGAATTCCTACTCTTAGGTTTGTGATGTTAACTACCAAACATGCCAGGAGTATCTTGCAGAGGTAGGAAAACCCACCCATCCAATTAATGAGAATCTGTTATTAAAGATAAAGAATCCTATGATAAATCACTCCTTCTAGTAACATTTCAAGAAGTGAGAATGTTCCAATGCCAAAATAATTCATACTTATTGCAGAGTACTTATTGAGAAGGAAAATTATGACTAGCCCTTCACTCTGAGATAATCCTCTTTACTCAAAGATAATCACCATTGCTTGAGGTCTTTGTTTTCTTCAGTCCTTTGCTTTTAGACAGGTATAGTTTTTGTTTCACAAAAAAATGGGATCATACTATACATGCTCTTATAACCTACTTTTTCCATTTAACTACCTTGATCATCTTGCCATAACTTTGAATCACTTTCTAGGACATAATTTTACTGGCTGTTATCATTCGATTATGTAGGCATACCATAATTTACAGAGCTAGACTCCTATCTGAGTTGTTTCCTTTATTGTTGGGATGGAGGTAGTACTATTAAAATCATGCTGTAACAAATATTCTCAAAGAGAAATCTTTGTGGGTTTGTGTAATATTTCCTTAGGATAAATTCTTAGAATTGATGTTCCTTGGTTGAAGGATATATACAACACGTTAAAGTATTTGATTCATACTATCAGCTAGAAGAGCTGTAGATTCATACTATCAGCTAGAAGAGCTGTAGATTCATACTATCAGCTAGAAGAGCTGTACCAGTTTCCATTTCTGCCAGCAGCCTAAAAGAGTGCTCATCCCTGTGGGCAAGGATAATAAATTCATTCCAACCCACCTGAATTGCCACAGGCCCCATTGCTTATAAAAGTCATAAAAATAATTAAAATTGTATATCAATCCTAAAAGATGTGCTGGGGGCCAGGACAGCTACATGTAATCTTACAAGTCCAGAATAGAAACACAAACAATAAAAAAAATTAAAATTGAGTTTTGTGACTGTGTAAAACACCATCTACTAACCCATCACTCCATAATTCTAAAATCTGGTTGTTCTCAGGGGTCTGGGACAGCAGTTTTGATTTCCTAGCACAGCCTGGCTCTGAGTATAAAAGTCTCCCACTCACAGCACTGCCACTGACCTCCGAGGTGCAGGACAGGCTGGTCAGTATGAGCTCAAGTGGGTTCTTTGGTTTTCCTAGACCTACAGGAAGAGGAACAGGGCAGGGAGAGAGTAGGCACTTTTTAAATGTTCTCAGTTTGGGATGTAGTAGATGCCCACAGTAAGAAATATATCCAATACTAGGAAGAAACATTGCAGAAGCTGTCCTACAATTTACCAATCAATCTAAAAAGTGAGTGCGTACCTACTAGGCCCACATTAATGAGATCACCATCAAACCTCAAGCAAGCCCTGGGGATCCATCTGCAGGCCTGTGAATGGTTCCACCACACCTCTGTAGGGATTGTGTAGAAAAGCCAGTGGCACTTCGGCTGCTTGTTACTCGCCACATCTGCAACCTGATTCAATGGCCAAATCCACAGAGACCCGGGTACCAGATGAACCCTGGCTCTACCACTTACTTAGTTGGACTAACTTGGCCAAGTTACTTAACTTCTCTCAGCCTCAGTTTCCTCCTCTTTGACCTGGGAATGACATCCATAAGGATTAAATGTAATAATATATGTAGCACCCTGCTAGGTACATAGTCTATATCCCATCTAATATTAACCCTTTCACAGAGTCCTTCCCAGAGCCAAGAATTTTCCCATGTGATAATCTAGGCTAACGCTGCCAATGGAATTTTCCATGATGATGCAGATATTCTATTTTTGCTCTGTCCAATATCATAGTCACTACTCTAATGTGGCTACTGAGTCCTTGGAATGCAGCTAGTGCAACATAACTGAATTTTAAATTTAAGTAAATTAAAAGTTAAACAGTCACATGTGGCTAGTGGCTACTGTATTAGACAACATACCTCTAAACACCTCTAAACATTACTTCCCTTTTTTTTTTTTTTTTTTTTTGTGACGGAGTCTCACTCTGTCTCCCAGGCTGGAGTGCAGTGGCACGATCTCGGCTCACTGCAACCTCTGCCTCCCGGGTTCAAGCGATTCTCATGCCTCAACCTCCTGAGTAGCTGGGACTATAGGCACATGCCACCATGCTCGGCTAAGTTTTTGTATTTTTAGTAGAGATGGGGTTTCGCCATGTTGGCTAGGCTGGTCTTGAACTCCTGACCTCAGGTGATCTGCCCACCTTGTCCTTCCAAAATGCTAGGATTAACAGGTGTGAGCCACCGGGTCCAGCCTGGACATTACTTCCTGCATTAAAGATCTGAGCAGAGAAGCCAGAAGTCTGAGAAAAGGTGAATACATACTGCCAGGGGACAAGGGAAGGGGCAGAGGCCATGGGTGCTGTATTGTCAGAAAAGCCAGAGAGGTATTCAGAGAATTCAAGCCTTGCTCAGCCCTAGAAAGAAAGGCTGGTGGGGTGATAGCAGGAGGCTGGTGAACTATCTTCTGCCACGGGACAGGGGCAGCTGCAGCAGCAGCATGGAGTAGTAAGATGGTTCTCAGGTTGAGAGTTGCCATTTACTTTGGAAGCTGATAGTGACATGAAAAAAAGCCACAGGGCAGTGCTGAAATCCACATATCTCTAGATAGAGAGGAGGGAGCCTGACTATACTGTTCAAAAGAACATTTGCACGTCTTGAATGAAGTGATAAACAGCAGTTCCCTAGTACCTGTCTCCAAAATAAAGGGGAGTTTCAGGTTATACAGTGTTTTTGAAAATAAGAGTGGAGGGTGCAGGTGTCCTGGAGAGACCTGTCCCTCCCAGTGAAAGATCCTCTGGTAGTCCACAATTCTATGTTCCCTACCTATTTTACTCTTTTGTACCCTGAAATTTACTCGACGTGGAGGCTTTTTAAAGGATATGAACAGTAAGAATGAAGAATTCAAACGACTTTTGGTTAAGTTAAATTCTACCATATTTTCAGGGAAAAACAATGTTCAAGTGTTCAGTCAGGATCTTGGCCAGTGAAACTCTTCCACTTCTCCCCACCTGCAAGAGTGTGTTTTTCTTTGACATTTGAGCTCGTCTCCCCTGTCTCTGATGTTTTCCTCACTGCCCTTTTTGCCTCCTCACTGAAGCAAAAAGAACAGAGCCTCGGCTAATTACTCTCAGATCAAATAATACTGGTTATTGTAATTGGTCATTGTCCGAAAACACTGAGTTCTTCTTAGCCCGGAGGTTGCCTGGCACAGCTTAGTTAGCTAACTATTCCCGGAATGTCTCTATTATCTGTTTTACTTTGCAAAAGAAACTAGGGATTTGTTGAAAGCTGGTAATAAAAGTCTGCCCTGGTCTGAGCCGAGACTGCGTAGAGAGGGCCTGGGAAAGCATGACCCCCATGAATCAAGTTGCCCCCCCTCCAATAGCCACTCAATGATGTTATTTGGTTTCTCTGTGTCAGAGAATAATAAACCCACTAGGTTTTCTTGCAGACCAACATTCCCTGTTCTCAGGGCCTGGGGCATGGCTGAGGGACACAAAACAATTTTAATGACCAAACTCACTGAAAGTAAAATGGTTCATAGAGAAAAACTAACAGACTCGCAGGGGTCTGGGGCTCCCAAAGGCATCTTCCTACAGCTTAGAGCCCCCACATGGAAGTGCTCAGGGGCTGCTGTTCAGTGGACTGAGATCCAGGGAAATGTCTCTCCAATCCTGCTTAACGATCTCTTCCTGAGGTAGTACTCACCTGTTCCAGACAACGTGAAGGCTTCGAGGCGTAGGTAGCGGGAACCATTCTGGGAAGCATACAGAGGGCGTTAAAAAATAAAATCAACCCGAAAACCCTGTTGCCAAATATACTGTTAAAATTCTAAATGCTCTTCTTGGCTTGGTGTAAAAAAAGGATTCAAGCATCAGGTAGGCTACCGTGATTTTTAAAGCTTCATCTCCTGCTGAATGTTTATGATTTGGTGAAAGGTCACTATTATGGGTAGAATTATGTGCTCTCAAAATTCACATGTTGAAGTCCTAACCCCAACTACTTTAGAATATGATCTTATATGGAAATAGGATCGTTGCAGATGTTATTAGTTAAGATGAAAGCACTAGGGTGGGCCCTAATGCAATTTGACTCGCATCCTCCTAAAAAGGCAAAATGTGGACAGAGAAATAGACGTGCATCAGAGAAGGTGAAGTGAAGAGACTCAAGGAGAAGATGACCATCAGCAAGCCAAGGAGAGAGACCTGGATCAAACTCTCCCTCACACCCCTCCCAAGGAGCCAACCCTGCCAACACCTCAATTTCAGACTTCCCAGTCTCCAGAACTGTAAGATGATACATTTCTGTTGCTTAAACCACCCAGTCTGAGACTTTGTTACAGCAACTCTAGCAAACTAATACAGTCAACATATTCAGTAAAGTCAGCAAACATTTGTTTAACATATACTGTGTGCAGAGCATGTACCAAGTGCTGGGAAGAATACAAAACAGATCGAAAGAAACCCCACTACTTCTGCAGAGCTTACAATTCATTTGGGAGAACAAGTATATGTGCGTGAAATGTGATGAATAATGAGGCAGTCTTAAAGACTCAAAAGTGGTTAAAAAAAGAAAAAAAAAAAAAACTCAGGGGAGCCAGGCACGGTGGCTCTTGCCTGTAATCCCAGCACTTTGGGAGGCCCAGGCTGGAGGATTAGTTGAGACCAGGAGTTCAAGACCAACCTGGACAACATAGTGAGACCTGTATCTACAACGACAACCGAGCCTGGTGGCATGCGCTTATAGTCCCAGCTACTTGAGAGGGTGAGGTGGGAGGATCACTAACCTGGGAGGTTGAGGCTACAGTGAGCTGTGATTGTGACACTCACTCCAGCCTGGGAGACAGAGCAAGACCCTGTCTCAAAAAAAATTTTGTATGTCACTTGTGGAAAAAATGGAAGTGAATCCTGGCTTGAATATTCCAAAATAGGTGATAATAAAAATTGGAGCACTCTATAACAGTTATATTTGGGTGTATGTGTTTCTATGATTCTTAGTATTGATGCCATTTAACCCAAACAAAAACCATCCTAAAAGGGAATGATTTCTCATTCACTCAAGAAATACTAACTGAATGCTTCTTCCATGTAAGGGCTGTAAGAGGAGCTGCAGGGGAGGCAAGCTGATGGATGCTCTTTATCAAATTTCCTCCATTGTCCACTCCAAATTGAAAAAAGAATATTTCAACTCTCATTCAAAATGGTATTTCTGCCTTATATTTTTCTTAGGCCTGAAATTTAATTATTTTGTTTATTAGTTTGTTTAGAGACAGGATCTCACCCAGGCTGGTGAGTACACTAGCATGATCATGGCTCATTGCATCCTGGAACTCCTGGCTTCAAGTGATTCTCCCATCTCAGCCTCTGGAGTTAAAAAAAAAAAAAAAATTATTTAGAGATGGGAGTCTCACTTTTCTTTTTGTCCAGGCTGGTCTTGAACTCCTGGCCTCAAGTGTTCCTCCCATCTTAGCCTCCCAAAGTGCTCGGATTACAGGCATGAGCCAATGTTCCCAGCCATTATTTTGGTTTTAGAAATCTCTTCCTCCAGTTCCTATATAAATGGAATAAACCAAGGTTGTTTATCACAACAAAGAATTTAATTATGGTTGGCCAAAAATTAATTTGATAATACTCATGTGTTCACGTTGGCGTGCACATAGATCTGGAAGGCTACTCACTAGATAGTGGTGGTGGTTACAGGGGCTTACCCTTTTTCCTTTGTTGCCCATTTTCTCAAACATTTTTGAAATAAAGCATATACAATATTATTTTGCAATTTCAAAAGGAACTTCAATGAAAATTTGAATTTATAGTGCTAAGAGTTGTAGAGTGAAAGGAGTGATCAAAGTGACTTCAACTGAGTTTTCAAGGGCAGGTGCAATCAAATGTGAACCTCTCTGCTGGCATTTTATAGTCCCAGGTGGGCACTAAGGGAAGTACTTGTCTAGGTTATTTACTCTCTGTTCAGTATTATTTTGCCTAAGTTCAAAATAACCAGTAAAGATAAGAATATCTGGCATTTGTTTAGTATGTTTCTCTTCAAACCACTTTCTGCTGCCTATTTACAGCTCTTCCCTGGCCAAACAAAATCAAAATATTTCCTCATTCAGTCATTTCCCAGTTTCAATCAACAAAATGAAATCCATTTCCATCCTTTCCCATTTTCCATTTTTCCCTTCTGAGAGGTCTATGTGCTGTGTTTTTGGCCTTCAATATTTTAATACTCTTTCTAACTTGAGTGGTGTTCTGTGGCACGTGGGTTGGGGGTTAGCTGACTTAGGGTTTGAATATGGACCCTGCTGCTTCAGTTTTGCTGAGACCTCATTTAAGATACTTTGACCATCCATGGCAACCCTCAGTTTTCTTTCTTTTTTTTTCTGATTTTTTAAAATTTAATTTTTTTTTTATTATTGTACTTTAAGTTCTAGGGTACATGTGCACAACGTGCAGGTTTGTTACATACATATACATGTGCCATGTTGGTTTGCTGCACCCATTAACTCGTCATTTACATTAGGTATTTATCCTAATGCTATCCCTCCCCTTGCCCCCCACCCCACAATAGGCCCCGGGGTGTGATGTTCCCCGCCCTGTGTCCAAGTGTTCTCATTGTTCAATTCCCACCTATGAGTGAGAACATGCGGTGTTTGGTTTTCTGTCTTTGCGATAGTTTGCTCAGAATGATGGTTTCCAGCTGCATCCATGTCCCTTGCAAAGGACATGAACTCATCCTTTTTTATGGCTGCATAGTATTCCATGGTGTATATGCGCCACATTTTCTTAATCCAGTCTATCATTGATGGACATTTGGGTTGGTTCCAAGTCTTTGCTATTGTGAATAGTGTCACAATAAACAATATGTGTGCATGTGTCTTTACAGTAGCATGATTTACAGTCCTTTGGGTATAGACCCAGTAATGGGATGGCTGGGTCAAATGGTATTTCTAGTTCTAGATCCTTGAGGAATCCCCACACTGTCTTTCACAAAGGTTGAACTAGTTTACAGTCCCACCAACAGTGTAAAAGTGTTCCTATTTCTCCACATCCTCTCCAGCATTTGTTGTTTCCTGACTTTTTAATGATTGCCATTCTAACTGGTGTGAGATGGTGTCTGTGGTTTTGATTTGCATTTCTCTGATGGCCAGTGATGATGAACATTTTTTCATGTGTCTGTTGGCTGCATAAATGTCTTCTTTTAGAAGTGTCTGTTCATATCCTTTGCCCACTTTTTGATGGGGTTGTTTGATTTTTTCTTGTATATTTGTTTAAGTTCTTTGTAGATTCTGGATATTAGCCCTTTGTCAGATGGGTAGATTGCAAAAATTTTCTCCCATTCTGTAGGGGCAACCCTCCATTTTCTCAATGCAAATCGAAGGTGGTATTCACCTCTCAAGGATCCTGAAGCGAACCAGTGAAATAATGAGTGCAAAATGCCTGCTCTGGACCATTAAACAAAATAAATCCTATTTGCTTTTCCTCCCTCTTTCCCTTTCTTTGAAAAGTTATGGGCAGTATAAACAATGCGTGGCCAGGCACTTGGATCCAGGACCCGGGTAAACCCACACAATGCCTCTGACCAGCTGTGTCATCTGAAGATATTCCTTAACCTCACTGGGCCTCAGTTTTCCCACCTGTAGAAGGGGGATAGTAATAGTTCCTACTGCATAGGGTTGTGAAACTAGGATAGTAAATGTAATATAAATATTTCTTCACTCTTTGTCTCTTCTTTTCCTGCTTCTCTCCCTTTCTGATATAACATCCCCCTCTTTCCCACTCAGGTATTTCTGCCTTATTGTTAGTTCTCCTTGGAAACCTTCTCTAAATATCTTCTACTAAAATTCTAACTTGCTCCAAGCTCCAGTTCCTCTAAGTCTGACTTGATTTCTTCTGAGTCCTCAATGTGGGTCAGTGGCGTGTTTCTTAGCTTGGTAGTATGGTAACATGAACACAAATCCAAGCTCAAGTCTCCTTTCTGCCACTTACAAGCTTTGAGACTTTAGGGAAATTGCTTAGCCTCTCTGGTTAAATAATTGAGAAGTTTCCAAATCTGTAAAATGGGAATCATTTTCCAGTTGCTGGGAAAATTACAAAAGATTAAGCACGTGGCCTGTAGTAGGGCCTCAGTAAGTGTTAATCTCATTCCTTTTCTTCTTTTGGTTTTGACCTCTCATTTTGGAGAGGTAGGTTCTCAAGGGGAGCTGCATACTGGCATTGCCTGGAAACCTTTACGAGAAAGGAAGCCCTAAGGTTTGATTCAACTAGCCTGGGAAGGGTCCAGACATTGGTTACTTATTGTACTGTTATTATGAGTTTCTTTTGGTTTTCAAAAGACGTTCTCATTCTGTTGCCCAGGCTAGAGTGCAATGGCATGAGCATGATCATGGCTCACTGCATCCTTGACCTCCCGTTCTCAAGCCATTCTCCTGCCTCGGCCTCCTGAGTAGTTGGAACCATAAATGCACACCACCACTTCTGGCTAATTTTTTAAAATGTTTGTAGAGATGGGGTCTCCCTATGTTGCCCAGGATGGTCTCATACTCAGGTATCCAGCAATCCTCCCGCCCCAGCCTCCCAAAGTGTTAGGATTACAGGCATAAGCCACTATGCCTGGCCTGTTATTATGTCTTCAATGGTTCAATGGTCTCCAGAATTTTCCAGTGAGGAGCTAAAACAGAGGATCTTTGGTCTAGCAAAGAGGGCAGGGTCTATCACTCACCAGCAACTCAACACACACTTCTCTGAGGCTCATTTCCTCATC